TTTTTTAAAAAAGAAAACTTAAGTCTTAAATGCTTATTGCACTAGTGGAAAATAGAAGTTTTAATTTCCATAACACCTATTATCTTTAGGTCAAATTTTCCATTCTTGCAAATATGTTCAGCAAACTCTATAGATCTAGGATTCATTTTAAGGAAATTTGGGCTCTTCTTGGGAGCAATTTCAAGAAATAGTAGGATTAGTAAGAGCACTGGTCTGTGTTCAGTCTTGTATTGTTATATTCTATACAATTTCATAGAATATAACAAATAGAGCATACACTTAAGTAAAGATTTTTTGATAATACAATACAAACGTTCCTTCATGATTGTTGCTCCTGTCTTTCCTTGTTCTGCTATGTGATTGATTACTTGTTTGCTAATTCATTGCTTACTGTCTCCATATCATCCCTCATATTGCGCCTGTATTGATCTTGTGCCTTCATATCTTTTACTTCCTTCACATGTGATTTTCAACCACTTAAATTGAACCTCGTCATGTCATCCCTTTTCAATGATAGAACTTAATGAAAATTCTAGAGGGCCAATCAAACAAAAAAAACTTCTTGGAAGTTTAAATGAATGCCCGATTAAAATCTATTTTTATTTTTTTTTCAATGTTGATCAGAAATGCTTGCAATTGGAACAAAAGTATTATTTTAAGAGTAACTAATTCATTAATCACAAAAATCAAACCGTGCACCAGAGCTCTTCTCCATTTCTTTGCTGGGGTTAGGGTTTGAGTTAGAGATTTATCCCTTCATAATCTCATTTTTAGGAGTTGCTTTCTTTCTTCTCTTTTATATATATATATATATATATATATATATCCCTTTTCTTGAGTTTGAATGGAGAATGTGGTGTAATATGACAACTTTTTTCTCTTGGATGCAAAATTCTGCACGTTTTCCTTCAAAACTGCTTGGGCTAGAGGTGTCATGGTGCATTCGAAGTGGTTGCGGCGAGGTTTCCTTGATGCTTCTTGTGTTGGAAATAAGCTTTTGGGGTGGGCTAGTGCTCTTCGAGGGTTAGGGGCAGGTCGTAGGTTCGGCCTTGGTTGGTTATGTCCAACGAGAAGGAGGCAACAACAGGTTTTGTGAGAAATGATGCTATGGCTGGAGAGGAATACTAGCTTGATGTATGCCGGTCGCAGAGGAGGAAATCGATCATCTTCTTGGCCATATTGGTTTTACTAGGGCATTGGTGGAGCATGAGGGGGTCTTGGGAATACCCCTCCAGCAGTCTAGGAAATTAAGTTTCTTCTAGGTGAGTAGCGGCGATCACTACTTACTCGAGTGTCCTACAATTCCCAAAAGTTAGCATAGTTGGTGAGATATGAATGTCCACGTCCGTAGGCTGACTATGACTGAGAGTGGTAGTCTTTCTAGTTTCTACATTCAGTAGCCTTGCTATTACCCCTATGACAATTTTTCTTGAAGCAACTAACAACTAGATTGGCTCTCTTTGTATATACTTCATTGTCCAGATTAGTTATCGATTATAAATTCTTCCATTCGTTAGAGCCATAGGAAGAACTTGGTTTCCTTAAATTTAAGAGATTTACCATGCATTTTAATCTCTCTTTCTTTATATTAATAAAATTTTGTAATTAATTATAATTAAAAGATATTGTCAAGAATATTTATAATTAGTCTATATCCTACTCAACATAGAAATTCTAACT